TTTTTAATCCTTTATTTTCCTGTTCTTCCGTATAGGAAAATCCTTCCTTATTCCAAATGTGAAGATTCTTGTGTCAAACTCTGAGTACACACCATCCAGATGGGCCTAGGAACTGTTCCTGGAGCACCGTGGTGCTGACATGAGATTTTTGCCGTGTCGATCTTCACACAAAGGGATGTGGGATCGAGAGTTTGTGCTTAAACAGCCTTATGCTTAAATTTTTATTAATTGAAAAAAATGTTTTAAAATGCGACTTGGTGAAGATGGGTAACTCCCAGCTGGTTTAGTGGGTAGTTTTATCCTGGCATCTAGGCTGGGATGCAGTAAGCGTGTGTTGAGACGCGTTGATGTTCACGGAAACAGTGAGGCCGGTGCGGGGCAGCTGTGTGCTGGAAGGAAAGGAGTGGAGGCTGTCAGAAGAAAACTAAAGAACGGAGGATTGATGGCAGAGAGGGAAACCAGCTGAGCGAAGCTGACACTGGTGCTGTGTCTCTGTGACCCCTCCTGGGGCTTCTGCCACCTGAGTAGGAGGACAGAGTGCGGAGGAAGAGGAAGTAGCTGCAACCTTGGAGAGATTCTTCAGCAGCAGAGGGTGGGAGGTTGGGCTGTTCGCTTCACTGCAGATCAGAGGCTGAGGAGCTGCCGTGTTCACATCACAGCTGATGTGGGCACCGAGGCTTCTGGTGCCTGCGTGGCACTGACAGGTCGGGCTCCAAACCAGCTCCAAAGTGGGGGCCCAAGTTTAAATTTTATACAAGCGATTTGACTCCCGCTAGCGTGGATGGTACCAGTGACATCTCATGTACGAGGCATGGACACCCAAGGTGGATTGTTAAAGGGAATGGGAGGAGGTTTCTCTTAGGGAGCAAGTCTGTGGGTGACAGTCCTCCCCTCGGGGTGGCAGGAAGAGAAGTTCAACCCAGGAGGGACGGTCTGGTCCGAGAAGAAACAGGAAAACACCGTGTTATGGACACCAGGCCGGGGGTGGTGCAGGGGCAGGGAGTAGCCGGGGAGCAGACTCAGGGCCCGCATAGAAGAGACCCGGAAGAAGCCGAGGGGGCTGAAATGGCCCCTGAGTAGCCAGGACCACGTGAACAGAGACAGAAGCCAGCGCGCAAAATGCAAGGAGAGAATGGGTGGAGAGGAGGTGCAGATGGAGGTGCTGACCTCCTGGGGTCGGCCAGCCAGAGGGAGCGGCTGGACAGCTGATGTCCCAGAGCTGGGCACAGCCTGCACTCGGCTACATCTGTCCTCGGCATGGGACACGCAGCTGCAGGTGCCCGCCCCAGGCACCGCGGTCGTTGTGAACTCGGTGTCCCTGCATTTATTTCCCTTGCTTTGCTAAAGGCACCCCGGTTCCCAGTGGGCAGACAGGTGACGGGCGAGTCGGGCCCTCTCTGGAGGCATAGGAGGGGTTGAGAGGGGGCTCTGAGAGGCATGGTGTGGGCTGGAAAATGCCACTGGGGTCAGTCGTTCCTCACAGGGTGTGGTGGAGCTCTGTGGGCCTGTCCGCCTGCACCTGTCCTGCGTCCAGGCCTCCGTCTTCCTGTGAGTGTCCTGCCCTCCTCCAGGGAGTCCCCTGCCTGCCTGAGCTGGCTACAGCTGGTGTCTTACCACCAAAGGGCCCTCACTAACCCACGTGGGTCGGTAACTTGGTCTTTGCCTTTCAAGGACATTGTGTTTTCTCTGCGTGCCTCCATCTCTAGCTTCTCTGTAAATGGCGTGGACTACGAAGAAGGCGTCCAAACAAAATAAAACCCTAAAGATAGCATCTTCTAATGGGGGAAAACATCCCAGTGTCAGAGTGTCGGTTCACTGTCTGCCCACGTGTGCGGGCAGGCCGAGCCCCGTGTGCTTGTCTGGGCCCCCACCAAAGGCGTTGTCTGGGGATGCAGGGAGTGGATCTTCTGGCTTTGCTCTGACGTCATCGCAGGAGTGGACTAGACTGGCTGTCGGTCAGATGTGGCAGCTGCCAGCGCTGCAGCTGGGGGCACCTCCACCCTCGCCACGTGCATGTGACGGTCGAGTCCTGGGGGGGCAGGTGCTGGACTTGTGAGTTGCTGTTGGGCGTGTGTCCACGAGACACCTCGCTAGTGGGCACTTTCTTTTCACTTGTGTGCCTTGTGAGGGGATGCAGCTGAGCTTCCATATAACAACAGAAAAGCAAATTTGATGAACATGTAATTTTATTTGGGTAGATCCTTTTTTGAATTAAAATATTCATATACATATGAGGTGCTTTCTTTTCCCGGAAGAAATGCTTTGAATAGCAATTACTGTTGCTTTACTGAGCTAGTGAGTAATATGTATGTGTCTGCCTGTCTGGCAGGCCAGCTGTGCATCTGTCTGTATCTCCCTACCTGACCATATAAATGATGTACGTGAGGTCACTTAGTTGGATGGATACAGGGAAAGCACCACCTGCCGTGTCATCTGCTGAGAAGGAAGGACCTGGTGGATGGGGTCACTTTCCACATGGCTGTGAAATCAGCTCATCCAAGTGGCAGCAGCTGCCTTCTGGGTTTCTGACGCTTGGTCACGTGCGAATGTTGTGGATTTCTACTGAGCGCCAGGGTGTGGAGGAACGGGACCCGTGCCTTGTTCCTGCCAGAGTCTGAAACTTCCGGTCCCCTGGGGCCTGAAGCCAAAGCTGGCAGAGTGGAGATGAAGGGCAGCTGTCCCCAGGACTCGAGGACTCGCCCTGCAGAGCTCGCTGCCCGATCGGCATGGGGCCGGCCAGTCAGGGGGATCTCCCAGCACAGGCTAGAGATTCCTGAGGGTGCTGATTGTGTCTCAGGCAGGACAGGCTGAGACCAGGTGACAAGGAGAAGAGCAAGGAGGGAGGAGGAGTGGTGTATAAGGACGGGGACAGCCGGGCAGCAACCGCAGCTCAGGGAGCCCCAGAACCCAGAGTCAAAGCCCAGGCTCCCAGGGGCAGGCTGTAGTGTCCTGGAGTCCAGTCCCGCAGAGAATATGGGCAGCCTGCCAAGTCAGTGACCGTGACCCTCAGACCTTGCCCTGGATCTCTACCAGGGCCTCTGGTGGGTGCCTGTGACCTCTGGGTCTGAGTGTCCAGAGGGGCCAGCCACACCCGGGAAAGGTGCCCTTTGTCCCGGGATTGGGGAGCAGGGGTCTGGGCCCAGGCGCCCAGCCCTCTTGGAGGGCTATGAGGGTCGGCTTGGAACCTGGACCAGGGCCAAGCTGTGGGGGCTGCTGGACCATGAGAGGGGCTGGGTGGGCCTGCTGCTGCCATGGCACAAGAAGGTTCGGTGACGAGGCGTGGCTGTTGGGGGCAGGCAGCGGGATTTCTGAGTAAATAACCTACTCAGTTGTCAGATGCCTGAAATCACTTTTTAGTAAGCAGGATGGAGAGTTAGTTAACAAGTGGGACTCAGGAACTGCCACCATGTGGGTCAGATTCATGTGTCCTCCAGGCCCGAAAGGTGTAAGGGCAAACCCTAGTGAGGGAAGGGGGTGTGGTCACTAGGTCACCCTCTGTGGGGTCAGCCTTAGTGGTTACGGCTGCACGGACCCCCCTTGCTGCACAGTCCCCCATTCGCTGGGTCCCTACTCCCTGCACCCCCTTCACTGCATGGCCTCTGCTCACGTGGCCCCCTGACTTGCTGCACACTTGCCGCTTGGCTGGGTGGCAGCCCCTCTCTGCAGGGCCCTTCTTGCAGAACCGGCTGGAACACCACTGCTTACGGCACTGTCTGAAGCTGGCCGCTCTCCTGCAGGGTCAGCTGTGGCAGTGGCACCGTCACCTCCCTGTGCGTGCTCCTCTGCCTCACCGTGCACAGCACAGGCGGCGAATACACATCTCCCAGCCCAAGCGCCTCCCAGCAGATGTCCGCAAGGCCAAGGGGGCAGCACGGCAGCGTCTGCCAGCCTGGAGCTGACACTCTGAGGCTGGATCCCACGTCCAGCTCTGCCGAGGGCAGGGGCACCTTGGGCGGCTCGCCTCGGGCCTGGGGCCTCAGTTTCCTCTTGTGAGAACTCGGGAAGGACTAGGTGGCGACTCGGCCCCGGCAGGTCTGAATCCCTGTGGCTGTAGCACCTGGGCAGACCTTCTCACCCAGGCTCCTCCGGCCGCCTGAGACCAGCAGAGCCTTTGCCCTGTGCGGAGGGGTTGTCCTGGATGGAGAGATAGCTCACGTCCCCTGGTGTGCCCTTGGGATCTCTAGGGCCCTTCCTCCCCAGCAGTGACCCACACGACTGTGTAAATTTGCCTCCGTTATATTGAGGGATTCTGATACTTCCAGTAGAAATAGATTCTGTTCGCTTCTACTCCGGAGTTTTTGTTTCCTTCTCCAAGGTCGGGTGTTGAGGAGGTAGCATCCCTTGGAGATGCTCCAGCTCCGTGGCAGGGGTGGTAGGTGAGAGCGGCAGCCCAGGGGTCAGGAGGCCTGGGTCCTGGCCTGCTGCTCTGAGCGCTGTCATCTGTGGGGAGGGGACGATGGGCTGCGCCAGGACCATCAAGGGCCTGCCGAGCGCGGGCATTTCAGTCCAGGGGCAAACGGCGTTTAGAGCTGTTCTCAACGTTAATCAGTTTTGCCGAAAACAGAAGACAATAGGTGGATTTTTCCTATTCATATTGCTCTGCTCATTAGCATACACAGCACAAAGGCCAGAGTTGCTGAAGCAAAATCAACAAGTTCTGATTAATTTGCAGAGGTCAACCATGGGATTGTTTGGAAATTTCTAACCAATGACGCTCCCTGACTGAGTCACGTTGTGGAAGGATCCTTAATTGGAAACAGCCTTAGACAGTAGCATGGGCAGCAACAGAGAATGGATGTCAGCGCAAAAACGCCCATAAGGCAAATGCCGGCCAGAAAGAAAATTGGCCTAACGTTAACAGCTGGATCCTGCAGGGGCGGGGCCTCGTGGGTGCGTGCAGTTTGGGGGAGAACAGAGAGGCACGTGGCCAGACTTAGAACATCAGAGACTCATTTCTTTCAGCATCTGTCCTTGTTTCTAACAAGCATTGTCCTTTCCAGGTTGCCCACCACTTGGTCTGGAAACCCTAAAAATCACGGACTTCCAGCTCCACGCCTCCACGGCGAAGCGCTACGGCCTGGGAGCGCATCGGGGGAGACTCAACATCCAGGTACCAGCCTGGGAGGGTTCTGGCTGCATTGCCCATTGCTCAGACATGGCCGTGGTTCCTCGAGCGTGGGCCAAGCTCTGTGCAAAGGATCTAAGATGCGTTAGCCCTGATTCTCACAGTGAGGGAGGGTGTTGCTGAGCAATCCTCGCTTTACGGAGAGAGCGCCGAGACTCAGCGAGGAAGCATCCTCTCCGAAGGTCATAGTAAAGTGAGCCTGGCTATACCTGGGCCCAGGTGGTTCTGCCGCCTCTGCTTCTTGAGCATGTCCCCTCCACATGCCCTCAGTCTGGAAAGGCAGCAGCAGAACGAGGAACGCCTGTGGGCGTGGGTGGGGCAGAGGCATGGCGCAGGAGGCAGTGGCATCTGTCTTCCTGGCCTCCCTGCCAGTGCATCTCCTCTCTGCCACACACACCTCCTCTAGGCTGTACTGAGGCTCCCTCCATCGAGTCCCCCAGGTCAGACCCTTAGTGGCTCCTGGGGTCATGCACATCATGCCTGGCCTTTGTCCCTGAGGCTCCAGGGCCACCATGACCCTGGCCCTTCCTGCTGTCAGGTCTCCCCTCTGTCAGTCCCAAACTCAAGGTCTTGCTCCGGGAAGGTGAGCTCCTCCCCGCACACGACACACCACGCAAATCCCGACTCCAGACTCCCTCCCTCTGCCTGCAGCCCCCTTCCGCCCACCGTGCCCAAGCAACGTCAACCCTGTCTGATCCATGTGTGAGTTTCCCACTGCTGCTGTGACAACTTGTCATGCACTCAGCCTTTTCAACAGCACAGATTTATTCTCTTACGGTCCGGGAGGATAGAAGTCTCAGTGGACTAACCGAGATGTCAGCAGGGCTGTGCTGTTTCTGGAGGTTCCAGGGAGAATCTGTTTCCGTCCCTTTTCCAGCTTCTAGAGACCTGCCCCATTCCTTGCTTGTGGTTCTTTCCTTCTTCAGAGCCAGCAGTGGCAGGTTGAGTCCCCCCATGTCACCAGCTCTCTGGTTCTTTCAATTCCGTCTCCCACTTTTGAGGGTCCTTGAAGTTACATCGGGTAATCTAAGACCATCTCCCTACCTGGAGCAAGTGTAATTCCATCTGCAACATTCATTCCTCTTTGTTGAGTAACCTAATGAAATGTATGCACAGGAAGTGGCCATCTTTGGGGAGGGGTGTTATTCTGTCCCCTGTCCCCGCCTCCTTTTCCTCCTGCCCCGACTCCTGCTGACCCAGCCCTGCTCCACGTGGCGTTTCATCTGTCCTGTCCTGTGTGGTTCTCTAATGGTGCCGTGTTTTAGTTTTCTTCCCCAGCTGCTCTGGAACTGTGTGGCACATGCACCGTCTCTGTCCAGGCAGGGAGGTGGCCCTTCCATCCCAGCCGGGGCTGTCCAGGCTGCACTCAAGGCTTCTGAGTGGCAGAGTGGACCCTCATTGCCCAGCAGTTGCTGCAAATGTGATGGGGCAGCCGCTGTGCTGGGAGCCGGACAAGAGTGGACGAGGCCCCTTCCCAGGGAGTTCATTGGCTCAGGGGGCGTCTGGGCCAAGCTCTGACCCCACACTTTTGCTCTGCCCCCATCCTCTCCAGGAACTGACCACATCAAATAGACTTTCCAACTGCTCAACCTTCACCACTTTTCAGTTCAGAGGAATTCGGGTAGAACATTTCCAGAACTACAATGAAATCCAAAGATTGGTTTATAAATACTCCTTAAAAAAAAAAAAAACTATTAAGGAACATTTGGATGTGTACAACTGGAAATTGCAAAAAATCTCTTGTGTGTTATGAGAGGATGAACACTCTGAACTCTCAAAGTTTGAACAGGAGCTGCCTCCGGCACCCCGGAATGAGCTCCAGTCCTGAGTCAATAACTGTCAGGCTTGAGCAGGGCTGGGTCCACACTGGCCTGTGTGGACCGTTTTGTGTATTAAGTAGGGTGGCTGTCATCCATGCCTTGGATGCTTTCTCTAGACCTCAAGTTATGCTTTAAAAAGAGAACGTGTTTGTGTTAAGGCCCCGTGGAGGTGGGGCCTGGGGCGGTGTTTGTGTCCCTCCAGTTGAGAATTCCAGAGGCAGAGTGACAGGCAGAGTGCGGCCATGAGATGTCGTAGCCAGGCATGCCGAGTTCAAGCCTTGGCCTGGATGTTTGTAGATTTGGGTGGGGCCTTTGGAATCATTATCTCACATCTCTGAGTCTCTGTTGCCTCATCAGAAAAACGAGATTCTTGAATGCTCACAGCGTTCGTTGAGTGGTGGGATTACGTGATTTATAATTTTAAAACATTCACTGGATCATCTCGTTCCTCTGTGGAAAACCTCTCGTAGCTTCCAGTTGCTCTTTGAATAAAATCCCGGCTTGGCCTTAGATAATAGCGGATCTCTTAATTCCTGCGTGGCGCTGTCCCTCTTTGGACGCTCGTTTGCTTATTTCCTTGGGTATTACCTGCCCCCTCCTGGAAGGTGAGCCCCGTGTTAGATGGGCCTTGTCTCTCCTGCGCGCCCGTCCCCTGGTGCCAGAACAGCACCTGCAACAGGGCAGGCGCACAGGGGACGTGCACAGAGCCTGGCTGAAGTGCGGGTGGCGTCACCGACCTGCCTTTGCCGGGCCACGCAGGAGGCTCCTGGGTGGACAGGTGAGTCATCCTGCAGGGAGAAGCCGCTGGGTCATCCTCACTCCTGGTCATCTTTCCGGCCTCCCGTCTCCTTCCCCAGGGAGAAACCAAGCTTCCCTCGAGAACGTGTGTTCCTGCCTTTGGTCAGGGTGAAAATAAGGGAGGACTTGGGAGTCAGATCAGTGCTATTTGTGTTTATGGGGGTATTTTTTCTTCAGTGTCATTAAACATTTACTCTGATGTCCTCTCACAAGGAAATCTCCGTACCTGTTTGTAGAATGTGAAGTTGCTGCTTTAATAGTGAAATCTGGGCCTGCCATGCCCAGCCTCTGGGCTCCTAGGCCTCCTGGGTTACCAGGTGCCCCGCTAGCGAGTGGAGCGTTGTTGCAGCGTGCGCAAGTGGGCTTTGACTCACAGCCCCCCACACGGAAGTCGTGACCAGATCGGGGCCCCCTTTTTCGGGTTCGTACCTTCCAGCCCCAGTGCCACGTGCAGCATGATTCACAGGTGCACAATTAAAGTCAGTGTCCAAAAATACATCTCCCCACACATAGCGGTTTAAAATGCAGCTTAAAAATAACCACATCTGTTTCACATATGAGTATTTTCTAGGCGTGTTGAGTTAATGGGGTTTTGTGATCAAGAAACACCAAAGTGTCAGAATTAGAAACTGTGTTTAATATCTTAGAGCAGGATGTGAGTGGGTTCATCCGGCCTGTCCCTGGCCTGGGGTTCTGCGTCCACTGATGCAGCCGTGGTCAAGACCAGAGGCTCGCAGGCTGGCACGCTCGTCCCGGTGGTCATGCTAACCAGCTGCGTGGCCTTAGACGCGATGCCTGCCTCCTCTGAGGCTCTGTGTCACCATAAGGAAACTGCAGGTCCCACTGTGGGCTGTGCTACCTTCACCGTATTGTGAAGAGCAAAAGGAGTAAACAAAGCATTGTCCTTGGTGATTCTCAAATGCCGTGTCTGAGCCGTCAGAATTCTTTGTTTCAGCAGCCTGCCAATCGCAGATTGTTAGGGAACCATACATGCAGACTCTGTTCCACTTACTGTGTGAATCTTTCTTTAACATGTTATTAAATTTCATGAAATTATTATTGCGTGTAATCATCAGTACACTCGGAGGAATGGCTCTGTTTTGGAGACACGGAAACTGACGTCAGAGGCTAAGTGACCCGCCCTGACCCCGCAGTGGGTGAGTGTGGACCTGAGACTCAAATCCCAGTTTTCTGGGTGCAGATAAACACGGGGCTCCTTCCTGCCGCCTCTGCACCCATGCGACGGCTCTGCTTGGTCAGTGGCTCGTGGCCTCCCCCTGCCTCCCAGCTCAAGGTTTATCCCTCCGACCACTGGCTCGCGCTGCTTAGAAGTGCCTGCTGTGTGCCGGGCACCGAGAGGGCAAAGGTGAAGAGCTCCGTTGATTCCCGGCCTTCAAGATGCTTCGGTCTGTGGCAGAGGGGCCGCGGGAATCGGCCCCCAGCAGAACTGGCACCGTGCTGAGTGCTCTACACGCGTCGTTTCAGTTATTCCTCAACGCGGGAGGCAAGTACTATTATTATTACCTCTGTTTTATGGAAAACAGACACAGGGAGCGTGGACTAACTCCGCTAAGATTTCCCAGGAGAGGTGGATTAGCAATCCAAGCAGCTTTAATATTCAAGTTGTTGCTCCTAACGATGCCATAAAACTGCCTCCCAAGTCACAGGATAGAAGTCCTAGGTACAGCAGCCGGCATGATGACGCCACGCGCGTCTCTCTCTCCTGGCGATGATCTCGCGTTGATGTACTCACCTGGCGCCCTCGCCGGGTGCCGAGCTTCTTGCGGGTAACGTGACTCTTGTTTTTCTGGGTATTCCCTGCACCGTGTCAGCACGGCCTCTCCACATATGTAAGTGCTTAATCGCCCGTTCCGGGAAGTGGCCGCAGTGCCTCAGGGACCTCACCTGCCGTGGAGATGTCTAAACGGCTGGTCTGTTTCACGTGGGTTTTGCTGTTGTGCGTTCGCCCATACGTGGTTGGCAAATACAGAATCGTATCGTTATGACGCAGAAACAGCATCGGTTCACGTGCAGCTGTTGCCGGTCCATTGACGGTGTGTGGGAGGTACAGGTCAGGGCAGGTTCCAGCACCTGGCTGCACAGGGCACTGGCACAGGGGGCGCAGAAGCTATGTGGCCCTCCTCCCTCCTGTCCCTCTGGGCTCCGCGTGGCCATGGGCTGTTTCATTGCCAAGTTCCCTTTCCCGTCGTGCCCCGGCCCCCACGACTCAGGCGTCCATCCCCTTCCATTATCTGCCTTCACTGTTTTTTCTTTTTAAGTCAAATCCTATAATTACAGCTGTATTTTAAAATTACTTTTTAGCAATTCAACATGTCTTCTTAACTGTGCTAATGTCTTTTCTTTAGA